GGGTCTTGAACCCGCGGGCTCAGGCAGTCCACTCACCTCAGCCTCCCAAAGGTGCGGGATTACAGGCTGAGCCACCCAGCCCGGCTAGTTGTCTATTTTTCACTTCACTTTTCCTTAAGATGATTTGGCTTTCCTGGAAAGTCGACCTGAATCTGATTTTACCGGGAGGTAGTGAATTTAGTCCCTTTAAAACAGAAAGGAAAAACACTTAACCTCTTAAGCAGCCCAGGGTTACTCAAAGGTATGATCAGCTTTTATGTTTGACCTATTCATGAGAGGGCTGGTGTTTTTTAAAGGCGTTTTCTGTCAGAAATCAGAGGGGCGGGTCATTAGACATTTCACAAGCTCCTATCATAAATCAGAAACTTAACTTAGAATTCTGATTTCTACTCCTGTCTCCTTCTCAGTGGATTCTTTTTACCCACTTTGTAAGTATAATTTTCAGACAAAAACTCAAAACAAATCTCCAAAACTGACACTCCCAGTACCATAGCTGGTTTTGTGGTCACTGGAAGGTCTGCAGTCAGGAAGATGCTGCAAGTCTTACTATTTAACTGGGAGATGTGTTTCCCATTTTAGAAATTATAAATTACACCATCTCCCTTTGTGTTTACAGGCAGATCAGCCAGGGACACTAGATAAGATGAAATAAACACAAGTGTCTTCTCCCTAAAGATGAAATTTTTGACAGAGTGTGCTTTTGTAGCAAAGCACCAAGAGAAATTAAAAGTAGAAAACCACATCCAAGGCCATTCTTCCTGAGATTAAAATTCTGCAGATGATGTGTCTTTTGCGTCAACAAATAAACTAGAGAAGAACCTAGCAGGTTTGGTGATGTCACATCAGTGAAACATCAAAGATTAGATTTTGCTGGAAAGGGGTTATTCCATTATGTCTCTTTCCTTTCCTAGAGTAAAAGTAGTTAAGAGATGACAGGGAACCAGTGTAGGTTTTTTTATTTTCTTAAGCTCATTTTGTTTTTCTGGGTCCACAGGCTTTTGGTTTCAACCCTCTGGAAGATTATTATGTCTCCAAGTCTGCAGTGGTGTTTGGGGGCTTTTATCTTTTCTTTTTCACAGAAAAGATCTTGAAGATGCTTCTTAAGCAGAAAAATGAGGTGAGACCCAATTCTTGGTTCAGGGAATGCACCCATCTGAAAAATTGTTGATGTATTGTGGTGGTGGTGTTAACTAACACCTCAAATTTCATTAAACACAAATTTCTGGAGGAAATAATTTCATTTCACCTTGTGAAGATATTAACTAGGGGCTGAGCCAGACTAGAAACTAGATCTGACCAGTGTACCTTTTGCTAAGTAGTAGTTGGTCCCCTTTGTTTTATCCTGGATTATTCCTTTAACATACACTTACATCTTTAGAAGAAGGGAGAGGGGCTTGATAATACATTCATTACAGTCCATATAAATATAACTGCAAAGGGACAGGGCTGATTAGTGTAGTGTAGTTCTAAAAAGATATCTTTAGTGCCTGGCATATAGTTACTTTCTAAGTAGTTGCTAAATCGAGTGAAATTAGCTAATGCAAAGCAAAAGTTCTGAATACTTTTTTTTTTAGTTGGAGTCTCACTCCATTGCCTAGGCTGGAGTGCAGTGGCACACTCACAGCCACCCCAGCATCCACCTTCTGGGCTCCGGCAATCCTTCCACCTCAGCTTTCCAAGTAGCCACCTCAGCCTTCCAAGTAGTGCACACTACCACACTCGGCTAATTTTTGATGTATTGTAGAGATAGAGGTTCCACCAAGTTGCCCGGGCTCATCTCGAACCCGCTGGCTCAGGCCAGCCACTCACCTCAGCCTCCCAAAGTGCTGGGATTATAGGTTGAGCTACAGAGCCCAGCCAGTTCTGAATACTTTGAGCAGTGACTTCCTTACTGGAATGAGCATTTGCCCTTAGGTGTCAGTTTTGATAACTGTCTAATACCAAGGTCTTCCTTCACACTTGGTATGGCTTATGTAAGTTTCCCCCAGGTTTCTGCGTGTGTGACCTGCTTGGGTTCTCTGTAATGAAAGAGGACTTTCTGTGCCTGGAGCACTTCCTCCGAGTAGGTGCTTAGTCAGGTTTGTGGCTTTTTAATTTTTTTTTTGAGTTGGAGTCTCACTCTGTCGCCCAGACTGGAGTGCAGTGGCCGCTCCTGGCCACCGCACCCTCGCCTACTGGGCTCCGGCGATCCTTCCGCCTCAGCCTTCTAAGTAGCTGGAACTACAGGTGCGCGCTACCACACCTGGCTAATTTTTTTGATTTATTGTAGAGATGAGGTCTTGCCAAGTTGCCCAGGTGGGTCTCGAACCCGCGGGCTCAGGCAATCCCCTCACTTCAGCCTCCTAAAGCGCAGGATTTGGGAGCCACCGAGCCTGGCAGGTTTGTGGTTTTGTTGAGTGTCATGCTGACCCCCTCCCATTACCCCTCCAGCATCATCACGGACATAGTCATTATGCCTCTGAGACTCTGCCTTCCAAGAAGGACCAGGAGGAGGGAGTGACGGAGAAGCTGCAGAACGGGGATTTAGACCACATGATTCCTCAGCACTGTGGCAGCGAGCTGGATGGCAAGGCACCTGTGACCGATGAGAAGGTCATTGTGGGCTCGCTGTCTGTGCAGGTCAGTGGGCTGTCCGCTGCTTGGCAGGCGGGTCGTGGCCTTGGTGGCTCGGGCCCACCTTGAAGTCACATAGTCCCCCTTTGACTCTCTGTGGGTCCCGGGGATGTGCTTTCTCATAGGATCTGCAGGCTTCCCAAAGCGCCTGTTACTGGCTGAAAGGGGTTCGCTACTCTGATATCGGCACTCTGGCCTGGATGATCACCCTGAGCGATGGCCTCCACAATTTCATCGATGGCCTGGCCATCGGTGCCTCCTTCACCGTGTCTGTTTTTCAAGGCATCAGCACCTCAGTGGCCATCCTCTGTGAGGAGTTCCCACACGAGCTGGGTGAGTGTGCATCCCCCTGTTCCACTGTGCTGCCTCTGTCATGGGTGCAGGCACCCTTCCTGTGGCTGATTCTTTGCTACTCATTCCCCTCAGTTCACAGTGCTTGTAATTAATTAACATGCTCCCTAAGCTGTGTGAAATGTAATCACTATTATTAAAGCAGTTAAATCGAGCTTTTTTTGTCTTTTTGAGTTGGAGTCTCACTCCTTCGCCCAGTCTGGAATGCAGTGACATGCACGCTCATGGCCACCCCGGTGTTGACCTTCCGCCTCAGCCTTCCGAGTAGCCAGAACTATAGATGCATGCTACCACGCCCATTTTCTCTTTTATTGTAGAGACGAGGTCTCACCAATTTGCCCAGGCTGGTCTCGAACCCGCGGGCTCGCTCAGGCAATCCACTCGCCTCAGCCTCCCAAAGTGCTGGGATGACAGGCTAAGCCACCGAGCCCTGCCATAAATCTAGCATTTTAAATGACAGGTGTTTTGTTTTTTTTTTTTCAAGGATGTGTGTTCCCCCCAGCCCCATATGCAATGTCTTGGTTTCCTCACCTATGCCATGGAATTGATAATAGTACCTGCCTTATAGAATTGTTGTGCGGATAATGGGAAACCAAATGTTGAGAAAGACTTCCCACATGCCACACGCTATTCTGAGTGCTCTGTAAAGGTCATCTCTTCTCTCCTGTTACTCTTCCAGAGGTTGAAGTATATAATAGAACCCTGGGAGTCTGATGAAGTATGAGCCAGGACGTTTCGTTTTATCAGAGTGAGAGTGTACAAAAGCCGGGACTCTGGAGGCTCAGAGAAGACAAAGTCAAATCCTGACTTTGCCATGTTTTGGCTTGAGACTTTAGACAACTTGGTTAACTTCTCTCAGTTTCAGCTTCATTGTGAGAAAGAGAGCTCCTTCTGTCTCACCATGGTTAAAAAGGGAAGCAAGGCCTGTGCTAGCTGACCACCTATTTTAAAAATCCTGTGAAAGATTTTCAGCCTTTAAACTGGAAGTACCTGGCCATTTTGGGAAATGGAGACATGATCTGAACAGGGTGATGAAGGTGCCTTAGTCTTTTGTAACTTCATTCTGGAATCTGGGGCTGCCTTGGTTTTCACCCAGACTTTATCCATAGTTTAAGCAGTCTGATGTCATCCGTATTTTCTGTCTGGAGACCTTTTATGACTCTTCCTTCTTTTATTTATTTGATTATTTTGGTTTTTGTATTTTAATTGGAGGTGGAGTCTATGTTGCTCAGGCTGGATTTGAAATCCCAAGCTCAAGTGATCCTCCTAGCTGGGCCTCCAGAACAGCTGGGTCTATAGGCATGTGCCACTGCACCAGGCTAACTTTTGTTTTATTGTCTTTCCTCTTCTGTCCTCCCTGCTGCAGGGGACTTTGTCATCCTGCTCAATGCTGGGATGACCATCCAGCAGGCTCTATTCTTCAACTTCCTTTCCGCCTGCTGCTGCTATGTGGGTCTGGCCTTCGGCATCCTGGCTGGCAGCCACTTCTCTGCCAACTGGATTTTTGCGCTGGCTGGAGGGATGTTCTTATATATTGCTCTGGCTGATATGGTAAGTCCTCCACAGTTTATGCCATGTAGGCAAATGTGGGCCAGATTATTAGACTGGTTGGATGGGTGGTCAGCTAAGGGATCATCAGATGGGTAGTTTTGTTTTGTTTTGTTTTGTTTTTTGAGTTGGAGTCTCACTCCGTTGCCCAGGCTGGAGTGCAGTTGCATGCTCACAGCCACCCCAGCGTCGATCTGCTGGGCTCCAGCAATCCTTCTACCTCAGCCCTCCAAGTAGCCAGAACTACAGGCTCTCTCTACCATGCCTGGCTAATTTTTGATTTATTGTAGAGATGAGATCTTGTCAAGTTGCCCGGGTTGGTCTCAAACCCACAGGCTCAGGCTGAGCCACGGAGCCCGTCTGGTAGTTTGTTTTATAATAACAGCTTTATCGAATTATCTTTCACATACCACACAATTTATTTATTTATTTATTTTATTTATTTATTTTTTTGAGTTGGAGTTTCACTCTGTCGCCCAGACTGGAGTGCAGTGGCCGCTTCCGGCCACCACAGCCTCGACCTGCTGGGCTCTGGCGATCCTTCCGCCTCAGCCTTCCAAGTAGCCGGAATTACAGGCATGCGCTGCCACGCCCGGCTGATTTTTTTATTTATTGTAGAGATGAGGTCTCGCCGCCCAGGTGGGTCTTGAATCTGCGGGCTCAGGCAATCCACTCACCTCAGCCTCCCAAAGGCGCGGGATTACAGGCTGAGCCACCGAGCCCGGCTACAATTCATTTATTTAAGGTGTATAATTCAGTGGTTTTAAGGGGCATTCCATTTTTTTTCTTTTTTATTCTTTTTTTTAAGTCAGAGTCTTTGTTGCCCAGGCTGGAACACAAGGACATGCTCATAGTCACCATAACCTTGACCTGCAGGGCTCAGGCAATCCTTCCACCTCAGCCTTCCAAGTAGTTGGAACTACAGGCATGAGCCACCATACCTAGCAAATTTTTTTTTTTTGAGTTGGAGTCTCACTTTGTTGCCCAGGCTGGAGTGCAGTGGCACTCTCATGGCCACCGCAGCCTCAACCTGCTGGGCTTAGGTGATCCTTCTGCCTCAACCTTCCAAGTAACCAAAACTATAGGCACATGCTACCACACTCGGATAATTTTTGATTTATTGTGGAGACGAGGTCTCACCAAGTTGCCCAGGCTGGTCTTGAACCCTGGGCTCAGGCAATCCTCTCGCCTTGGCCTCCCAAAGTGCTGGGATTACAGGCTGAACCACGGAGCCTGGCTTAACCTTTTTACTTTATCACCACACCCAACCTGCAATTTTTTTTTTTTATTGTAGCGACGAGGTCTCTCCAAGTTTTACCCTGGCTTTTCTCTAATCCCTGGGCTCAGGCAGTCTTTCACCTCTGTCTCCCAAAGTGCCGGGACTACAGGCATGAGCCACTGCACCCGGCTTAGGGGCATTAGATTTTAAAGGAAGAACAATTTTATGTTTCTGTTGGCTTATGTCATTAAATAAAATGATGATACTCAATCTAGGGTCTTTATTACATATTATGGAATATATATATATATATAAAAATTTAAATAGCAACACTTTGATTTTTTAAATCTCAATGTACTGTGTATAACTGTTTCTGTTTGTTTATTATCATTATTATTTTATTTTATTTTATTTTTTGAGTTGGAGTCTCACTCTGTCACCCGGACTGGAGTGCAGTGGCCTCTCCCGGCCACCGCAGCCTCGACCTGCTGGGCTCCGGCGATCCTTCCGCCTCAGCCTTCCAAGCAGCTGGAGCTACAGGCGCGCGCTACCACGCCCGGCTAATTTTTGATTTATTGTAGAAATGAGGTCTCACCAAGTTGCCCGGGCAGGTCTCGAACCCATGGGCTCAGGCAATCCACTCACCTCAGCCTCCCAAAGGCGCGGGATTGCAGGCTGAGCCACCGAGCCTGGCTTATTATTTATTTTTTTTAGAGACAGTATCTCTATTGCCTAGGCTGGAATGCAGCGATGTAATCATGTAACTTCAAAATCCTGGGCTCAAACAAACCTCCCATTTTGGCCTCTCAAAGTGCTGGGATTATAGGCATGTGCCAACTTGGCTGACCAGAAAATCTCAGAAACTTTTTGTTTTGTTTTGTTTTTAAATTTAAAATAAAAACTTTTTGGTTTTTTTTGAGTTGGGGTCTCACTCAGTCACCCAGACTGGAGTGCAATGGCCGCTTCCTGCCACCGCAGCCTTGACCTGCTGGGCTCCGGTGATCCTTCCGCCTCAGCCTTCCAAGTAGCTGGAACTACAGGCGTGCGCTACCACGTCCGGCTAATTTTTTTGATTTATTGTAGTGATGAGGTCTTGCCAAGTTGCCCAGGTGGGTCTCGAACCCACGGGCTCAGGCAATACACTCACCTTGGCCTCCCAAAGCGCGGGATTACAGGTTGAGCCACCGAGCCCGGCAAAATAAAAAAATTTTTTAAGTTATAGGGACTCACTCTGTCACATGAGCTAGAGTGCAGTGGCATGATTATAGCTTACTGCAACCTCAAATAATGGGGTCAAGCAATCCTACCTCAGTCTCCCAAGTAGCTAGGATTATTGGCGCATGCCACACCTGGCTAATTTTGTATGTGTGTGTAGAGACATGATCTTGCTATGTTGCCCAGGCTAGTCTCAAACTACTGGCCTTCAGCGATCTTCTTGTCTTGACCTACCAAAATGCTGGGATCGCAGGCATGAGCCACCACACCCAGCCTGGTTTTAAATAACTATAGTCACATTGAATATATAATTTTATTTCCTTATTTCCTTTTTTACTTAATGTAGACATTTTTCTATGTTGTATACTCTTTAAAAAGCATCGTTTTCAATGGCAGGATTTTTTTGGTGAAAGGGTATACTTTAATTCCAGAACTAGAATTGCTGACTTAACAAGGTTTTAGGCTTTTAGTATGTGTTGCCAAATTGCTTTCTGAAAGGCCTTAACCTTTTTACTTTATCAGCAGTGCCTGAAAGTATGCACTATACCTGCTAATATTTGGCATAACCATTTAAGTAGTTTTTAATTTACTAGTGAAGTACCTGGTCAGTTGCATCTTTTGCATAACTAACAAGGTTCATTTCCTTTCCTTGTTTATTAGCGTGACATGGTCTTTGGCCTGTTTGCATGGATATTTTTCCATATCTTTAATATATATATATTCGTTTTGTGGTTTTTTTCTCTCTCTTTTTTTTTTTTGAGTTGAAGTCTCATCTGTCACCCAGGCTGGAGTGCAGTGGCTGCTCCTGGCCACCGCAGCCTCGATCTGCTGGGCGCCGGCGATCCTTCCGCCTCAGCCTTCCAAGTAGCTGGAACTACAGGCGCGCGCTACCACGCCCGGCTGATTTTTGATTTACTGTAGAGATGAGGTCTTGCCAAGTTGCCCAGGCGGGTCTTGAACTCGCGGGCTCAGGCAATCCACTCATCTCAGCTTCCCAAAGCGCAGGATTACAGGCTGAGCCACCGAGCCTGGCTTGTTTTTTTTTTTCTTAATTGGGTTCTCACTCTGTCACCCAGGCCGAAGTGCAGTGATACTATCACGGCTCACTGAAGCCTCAACCTCCTGAGCTCAAGCAGTTCTCCTGCCTCAGCCTCCCAGATGGCATGAGTCCCATGCCAGACCTGAAAATAGTATTTTTATTTTTTATTTTTTACTTTTTTTATTTTTATTTTTTGAGTTGGAATCTCACTCTGTTGCCCGGACTGGAGTGCAGTGGCCGTTCCCGGCCACCTCAGCCTCGACCTGCTGGGCTCTGGCGATCCTTCCACCTCAGCCTTCCAAGTAGCTGGAACTACAGGCGCGCGCTACCATGCCTGGCTATTTTTTGATTTATTGTAGAGACAAGGTCTCACCAAGTTGCCCAGGCGGGTCTCGAACCCACAGGCTCAGGCAATCCACTCACCTCGGCCTCCCAAAGTGCTGGGATTACAAGCTGAGCCACCGAACCCGGCCAAAAATAGTATTTTTAATGAGAGTTCTAACCCCCACGATCCAGCCTCATCCCATGGAAATTTTTCTCTTTAGAGACAGAGTCTCTCTGTTTTCGTCCAGGCTGGAGTGTGGTGGCGCAATTATAGTGTGCTCCAGCCTCCACCTCCTGGACTCATGAGATCCTCTGTCTCAGCCTCCTGAGTAATTAGTGAGTACTATAGGCATGCACTATCGCTCTTGGCCAATTTTTCATGCAAATGTTTTAGATTTCTCTCTTGTCTTATGGAGAGCCCACCTGATGGTTAGTTGTTTTTTTTTTTGACATTACTTGATGGTCTCATAATGGTTACCTGCCTTGCTGGCCTAGCAGCTTGAGGCCTTGAATCACAGTCATGTTGCATCCCTATTCTCTGTCCCTTCATAGTTGCGCAGTTTCCCAAAGAGGTGACAGCAACATTTTGGTAGCCAAAAGACCTTTTCACGAGTTTTTTGAGTTAGAGTCTCACTCTGTCACCCAGGCTGGAGTGCAGTGGCATGAGCATGGCTACTGCAGCCTCAACCTGCTAGATTCAGGTGATCCTTCCATCTCAGCCTTCCAAATAACTGGAACTATAGGTGCATGCCACCACGCCTGGCTAATTTTTTAATTTTTATTTTAGAGACAAAGTCTCCACAAATTGGCCAGGCTGGTCTTAAACCCCTGGGCTCAGGTAATCATCTCACCTTTGCCTCCCAGAGTGTTGGAATTATGGTCATGAGCCACTATGCCCTGTCCTTATCAAGAGTTTTTAAAGTCTACAATAAAAAGTTTGTTTTTCTTCAGAGCTCATTTATTTTTAGCCAACCTCTAAACACGTGCAAGGCCACACGTGTGCTGAGTACTTTGTTTTACCTAAGTAGTTGTAGAGTCATGGTAACTAGCTCGAAGAAAGGCTGTCATGTTTGAGCTGCTGCAGTTATTCATTTTATCAACCAATTTGATGTCTATGTCAGTCACTGAATTGCCCTGCATTTATAAGGTCCAGCAAGGAATCACAACTGTCTTGCTCCTCTCTTCTTTCTTAGTTTCCTGAGATGAACGAGGTCTGCCAAGAGGATGAAAGGAAGGGCAGCATCTTCATTCCCTTTGTCATCCAGAACCTGGGCCTCTTGACAGGATTCACCATCATGCTGGTCCTCACCATGTATTCAGGACAGATACAGATTGGGTAGGGCCCTGCCAAGAGCCAGAAGGATTGGAAGTCGAGCCCCTGGGCAGTCCGATCCCTGGCCCAAGGACTCGGCATCCACGAAGTACCATGGAAGAGGCAGTTCTTTTAAAAATGGACACAGACGATATTCCTGTATTCAAATGTCAGCTGGTTTTAAATGCTCTGTCCTAGGAATAAGCTGCCCTGGTAACTAGGTAGTGCCTCTCCCCCTCTCCTCCCTTCCTCACAGTGGCTCTGGATCCTGAACGTAACTTATAAGCCAAGCCTTGCTTTTCACTTGACCCTGGCCTCTTTTTCTCAGAACCAGTGCTGAAAGATTTTTGAATTCTTGATCCTACAATGCAAAAATACAGCCAGTTGGTTAGAAATATCCAAAGGTGAATCCATGGTTTGGGGCCCATGACTCCTAAGTGTAAATCCTGGTCGTCAAGCTGGCCAATTTTGAAATGGATTCATCTATTTTTCCAGAGAAGAGACAGGAGCCAGGAATCCTTCCCATTTTTTCAAAGTCTGTTCAGTTGATTATTCTGTCAAAAAGAACTGATAGAACGGATGAGAGGGTAAAAGGGATCAACCTGAGCAAGAGGGGAAGTAGACCCGATGTGTGTCTTGTTATGATGCGCATTTGTTTCTCCTGGGATGCTGGTATGAATTCTGTGGCAAGACCTGGTGTCTCCTGGCTACCCAGGTGAGCTGATGTGGAGATGTGGTTGCTTGGACGTTCCCCATCAGGTTAACACTGACAAAATGGAGGGCCAGGCAATCCTCCAGAAATTGGTTTTGCTGTGATTTCCCTTTCCCCTCCCCACTCTTATCTTCTAGGAGACTTTGTAGCTGCCTGCCTAGAAGCACACTCTGAGCACATTTGAGATGTTTCTGTTATAGGGGAGACTGCACAAACTATCCTCCCCAGGTTGAGACTTCTGCAAAGTGGCAAGCTGACTTATAGACTTGGACTACAGTTTATGCTCTACTTAGAAAAAGGGTCATTAGAAAGGGAATCAGGGCAGGCAGCAATTAGGATTTGCTCATTCCATAAATAAAAGTATGAATAATAGGGGGCTTTGAAATGTAAGGTCACAAACTTAGGTTGGGGCACTGCAGATGTTTGCAGGATGACCGCCTGAATGGTTTTGCTGCAAATGGGTTTTTAATTACCTATCTAGATTACCACTTCTTCCCTTGTGAAAAAAGTTGAATCCTGTATTGAATTGAATATGAATCGCTCTAATTCTCTCCAGAACATAGGTGGCTATACTTGTCTATAAAACTGTAGGCCAGCCTTAGGCGCTGTGGAGCCCTCGCTTCAGAACTCTGGCTTCAAGGGGAGCTAATCTCCAAGTTCACTAGGTGAATTGATTTATTATTATCATATTGATAATGTGAGATTCTTTAGCCACTTTGGAGAGTCAGTCTCTCCAGAAGCCTTTCTCAGTGGTGCCCACAGCTGCAGCCCAGGGGCCATGTTCGCAAACTGATTCAAGTGCATGACTGACAAAAATACTGGTTCATTGCCAACACCTGAGGTTTTCTGTTCTTACACAGGAATGCTTACCACTCAGTAACTTAAAGCAGCATCTGTTTTGTTCTGTCTTCTTGGGAAATATTCTTCAAACCAGAATATTCTTGAATAGGACATGAGCAGGAAAACTGCTGGTGATACTTGGTGATACTTACAGATAAATTTTAATCTGCCAGGCGCAGTGGCTCACGCCTGTAATCCCAGCACTTTGGGAGGCTGAGGCGGGAGGATTACTTGAGGCCAGGAGTTCAAGACCAACCTGGGCAACATAGCGAGATCCTGTCTCTATTATAATATTGGGGGAAAACATTTTTTTCCTTATCTTGCCTGTTGGCTTCAGTAGATTTGAGAATATGCTGAAGAAGAAGGAAAACTTCAATGATCAAGATTCTACATTAAATATCAGGACTGACTCCTGATAGGATTATGGTCCCGTTTCACCAAAGAACCAATTCCTTGAATATTGTAATCTAACTTTTTTATATTATCATTTATTATTGTTTTAAAACCATTCTTCATCTCTTCTGTTTTATTTTTCTCAAACCGCTTTCAGGAGCTAGCAGAAATAACACTCAAAGGTTAAGACTCTGAAAGATTTTGCTTTACCTAACTCACATTGATGTATTACATTTATAATTTTAGCATTCCCTTTAGAACCTGTCACTCCTGAAAAATACCCTTCATCTTGGAGTAGAATAATAAGTTAGAGTTAGTGGGCTTCTAGTGTAAGAGAGAAGCTCAAAATATAATCTTTAACACATTGAAAGATAAAATATGAAATAGTAGGGTGCTTTCCCTTTTTGTGCGTATTGATATTAACTTAAATTTCCTTTTATAGACAGCTGCCTGAAAGGGAAATCCTCTTTCAACAGTAATTGGTGCAGACGTCAGTCCTAGTCGGAGCTTAGAGGGGTGGAGACACTCAGATCATCCGACTGATAGTAAGTTGCCATTGGCAACAGCTTTGCCTCATGAATTGAAAATGTGGCGATTTCTTTTTGGACTTTTTAGGAGTTGAATTTGCTGTTTTAAGCATTTGTACATATTAGAGGTCTAAGGAATAGCAAGTTGTTTTGAGGACTTTTTTCACCCTCGGCATTGGGAGCTTCAATCTCTTTTATGAATGGACCAGTTCCTAGTAATGTTAGCAAGGAAAGTATGTGTCACATGCAGGAATGGCAAGCCAGGGACAGATTCTGCTACTTCTCACCTCACCACTGGCATGCAGGTTGCCTCTGTCCTTGCCCAAAAGGTATTTTATGTCAAGTTTCATCCTGGGGTTATTCCTCATGGGTCCTTCACCTTGGGTTTAAAAAAGGCTTCTCTGTTTGGGTAGCCTAAGATCTGTTTTTAACGTCTTCTTCCAAAGAAATGGTAATATGCTGGATATGCTGGAAATCTGCTTAAAAAATAGTTGCCTGATTTTTTTTGCAAAAGAGGTTAGGATTTTAATGTTTCTATTTCCCTTTACGGCTCTGCAGTTCCATCACAGTATTTTTTTTAATAACTCAGGTGTTATGAGAAAAAATTAGAAAATTAACTTAAGTGGACTGTAAATGTTTTATTTGTAAGAGTCTAGAAATAAAGCTATATTCTGTAATTGTTGAGAATTTCACGTGTGATCATTTGCAGTAGTAATGTGGCTGTAATGAAGACTTTTCAACACAGGGTGGCAATGGTGTCACGCGGACTTACAAAGTTTTGTTTTTCCAGGTCCAGCTTAATAATTTGACTATGGGATTTTAGAAGGAACCTTATGCTCACTTTAAAATTGATTAGTTTCTCTTTCATGGCGACTGTGACCTCACTGTGTTGTGTGAGAAAAGAATTGTGGTGTTTTCTCTCATACAGAAACTTGAAACTTGTAGAGTTGGCTTAGATCATTTAAACCACAACTCCTGTATGTCTTACAGGGAAAAGTTCTGTTATGAGACTTAAGATTCTAAAACTATTGTCATTCCAATTTAGTTACAGGATTAGGGATTTGTTTTTCTTCAAGAACAGAAATGAGCAATAAGGTAGAAGTGTTGATTCAATCTTATACGACTACATACATTAGAGATCTACAAATGCCCACTGCTCAGTCCTTTTTTTTTTGATTTATTGTAGAGACAAGGTCTTCCCAAGTTGCCTGGGCAGGTCTCGAACCCGCGGGCTCAGGCAATCCACTCGCCTTGGCCTCCCAAAGTGTTGGGATTACAGGCTGAGCCACCAAGCCCAGCCCTTTTTTTTTTAGACTCAAACAATAACATAATAAACGGCTCTATTAGTCTATTAATATTCATTACCTAGCTACTCTACCATTTGCTGGAGTTGCTGAAAATGACATTCACTCTGCCCTCAGCTTCTGCCACCTCTTCTGGAAAACCTTTTCAGAAAATGCCCACACTCCTTCCTGCCTTCCCAGATGTCTCTGCATACCTCAGGTACAGGGCTTGCATTGTAATTGCTGTTTTTTGTATACCAAATTCCTTCTGGGTAGAGGTTATATCGGGTTTCTTTCAGTGATGTCAGCACCTGCCACACAGAAAAAGACCAAATGAAATGCCTTTAGAGTCCAGTGTTTGTGAAAATGTTGCTTTCCTGTTGTGTTTTCCTGTGTTTCACTGGTGGTGGTTTTGCTTATGCCTCCGTTATCTGTCCCACCTTTATTTAGAAACATGAGTTTGAGAGAGGTGAATGTGTGACCTGCATGGAACAGAGCTAAGCAAACAGGCTATTAAGTAGATTAAAACCTTGACCTTAGCCATCTCTTTGTAATACTCTTAACCAACTAAGCCATTTAGGACATTTTTGGTGGAGGGTGAACAAAAATTCAAGAGATGCTATACATTAGTGCTCTCCTATTTTGTTACTTCTGCACAGTCTTCTTTACCATTCAGTGTTGCTTAGTTTGGATTTAGGCAAAGCTATTTCAAGAAATAATCAAGACATTAAATGTGGACACCATTTTTTATCTGCAGAAAAACAAAATGTCCGTCTATTTTAAAGGTTTGGTTCCCTTTGTGATCTGGGGTGAAATAACCTAGACATCTAAATAATGACAGGTTCAATCCCAGCAGAAGCGCATCCCTTTCATCCTTCTGGAGTAAACTTTTTTTTTTTTTTTTTTTGAGTTGGAGTCTCACTCTGTCACCCAGACTGGAGTACAGTGACCGCTCCCGGCCACCGCAGCCTCGACCTGCTGGGCTCCGGTGATCCTTCCGCCTCAGCCTTTCGAGTAGCCGGAATTACAGGCACGCGCTACCACGCCCGGCTGATTTTTTTGATTTATTGTAGAGATGAGGTCTCGCTGCCCAGGCGGGTCTCGAACCTGTGCCTCCCAAAGGCGCGGATTACAGGCTGAGCCACCTAGCCTGGCTATCTGGAGTAAACTTAATTACACTCCATTAATGATAGGTAGCTTTCAGATGAGTTTTTTTGTTTGTTAATAGTAGGAAAAACTCAGTGGCTGGAAGTGACCTAAATGTTCTTACCAGCCTTCAGCTAAATGTGTTATGAACTGCCAGCCAAAAGTGCTTCCAAAGTGCTGGAAGCATTTTTCTTTCCAACGTCACGACCTCTTGCAAAATGTCTGTTCAGGGTTTATTTTTAATGAAGAAAGGGAGTTAGCAGAGACTCCCCTTCCTGTATAACAGCAATCTTTGACCCAGCAGTGGGTGAAATTCTGAGATGGTAGCATCAATTATAGTTAAGGAATAACTCAAAAGTGTTCTAACCCTGGCAATCATAAGCCAAGAGGTAGTTCTTTCTTCCACTCAGCTCTGAATGTTTTTTCTATGTCTTTGATTTGGTTATAAATCAGAACACTGAGCTTGTCTAAAATAAACTCAGGCAATAATCCACATAGGTTTTCACAGTGGAGGCCCCTGATAAATCTTTTG